AGATACTCAGAATCGCACACATCATTTTAAATGCCAATAAACCATACACTACGTACTTCGTACTACGTTCCTGGTATAACTTTTTGTTTTAGAGAAGTTAGCATAATAATGACTTCTAAAAAAATATATTATCATGCGAAAATAAAAGGGATTTTGATTATTTTCAATTGTAGAGTTCTACACAATATCTGAATTCAAACTTTTATTTATTGTACCTTTCAATTAATTAAATAATTTTATTTGCTATATTTAAAAACAATTATTTTTTCGCAAATAAAATATATTGCAAAAATAAAAAAAATAGTAGCACAAAATAAAATTATTTAATTATAAAAAAAAGATATTAAGTATATATTATTGATTATATATTAATAGATACTGCAAACTTTGTCTAATCAACAAATAATTGATTAAAGTGCCCATGTGATATTTAAATTCAGTAGATCGCGAATTGAAGTCAATAGGGCTAAATTGGCGTTTATCTCACAGTATCCATTATTAAGATAGAATTAATGCATGTGGAAGGTTAGGCCAGACTAATTAAATTCTGTGTTATATTACCCTTTATCTCCTGGGGAGGGAGGTTTATTGTGCTATACATGCGAATTTTTTTTTTTTACTATTGTAACAATCGTATGGTAGAGCTTCCATCAATCATGCCGAGTTTAACTCCGATAGTTGACATGAGAAAGGATGGAGACTTGATGAAAGATAAGGGAACTCGTATTTCATGGTTATTAGGAAGGACGTTTTCAGAGAGCATACATTTGATACATTATAGATAGCGAACTAGACGGTGGATTAAGGACGAGAACAACACCTTATATACATTCTATTTCTTATGATGTCTACGCTAAGATATAATATCTATATTACAAATTCTGACTCACACATGCTTTCCAGCAGGCAACTCATTTATCAAGTTATGCAAGCGCGCATACGCTCACAATATCGCGTAAACGCGACTAGGGGAAATTCACATGGGTTAAGCCATAATAGTGCCTAATACTATAAAGGTAGGATTAACATGGCTATGGCACGGAAGATATGTGATAATTTAATGAATTAGACAAATACGGAAGAGAGGGGGGAAATTCTGGAGTGGGAAGGTAATTTAAAACACAGAGTTTAATTAGTCTGGCCTTATTTAGAATCATACGTCCCTTGACATTGTTGATCCGTTGACTTTTATCAACTCCAATGAAATTATAGCGTATCGGTATGGTATAGATCCATATAGTACAGATCATTTTTTTAAAAAACTATATTAATAAGATATAATTTCTAACCCTAATATGTATATATATATAATGCTGGGTTAGTGTAGTAAAATTTGTAAACCGACCTGTACTGCTGTACTATACGGATCTAATTGTCTAATTGCAGAATTTCACCGACGACATACAGTATTTGAGATTTTTAGTTTAGCATATCAATCGGTTATTTTAGAAAGGGTATAATCATGAAGAAAAAGTAATTGATTTGTTAAAAGGCAATCTGATAATAACTACTGAAAGTAGGATAAATCTTGCATACTTTCTTTCTAGTACCTTAATTTTAGGTTGTGTTTGATCCGGCTACTCTAAATCCACCCTTTTGCAATATACTTATGTATATCGATAGCGATATATTATTTATATTTATATATAAATTGCAGTGTTGATAAATAGACACGTTTAATTAGAATTCTGAGGAATAATAGGAATCAGATTTAACTATATTAAGGAGACGGAGGCAAATCATGTGATCAACTGCCAATCAAATAATATAATTTTGATAATCGCGAAGCAAAACAAGAAATAAAAACCAAAAACTCAAACTATACAAAAAACGGTAGTCTAAACCTACCTCGGGAAGGTCAATCAAAAATGTCGGGAAGGGAATTTTACTTATATATAACTATCTAAAACCTAACATAACCCTGATATATGATGACTCTAACCCCAAAGTTAATCGAGAAAATGATTAAGAAATATGTGTGCCTCCGCTTTAGACGTCCCCTATATTAAGAAGTAAATTTGAATCAAGACATAAATAGTTTTAAATAAAAATGATTTAATAATATTTGGTTTGTTGGTTATGTTCTTGATTCAATTCGGACAATTCGGACGGACACCAAATAATCTTATAATATTAGGATTAGGATAGGATAGGAAGGATAGAAGAAAAGAAAATAAAAAAAGTGAAGATAAAATTTTTAATTACATGTGATTTTCTTTATTAAGTTTATTTTATTTTTTTACATATTAACTAATATTTTGTTAAAAAATTAAATTATTCAAATACAACAGCTTTTTCTTCATTACTCTTATGTACCGGTTTACTATTTCCCATAAACAACGCTGAAATAAATATTAACCCACAATATAGTATGGTAAGTGCAAAGGTGAATTGAAATGCCAACACATAAGCGTGAATGACCAATTTCTGTGTATTTGGTGGTAATGATTGTATAGTATATACAGATTGTGTTGAAAAGGATGGAGGTAAAGTTAAAGAACTTAATTCTCGAGAAAGTTTATTATTAAATGCTGTTCCTGAGATTGCAGTTCCAAAAATAGCCCCAACTAGATAGAAAAATATAGACAATGAATTAGTAAAATAATTTAATAATTTTGTTAAAAAAAAAAAATTAAACTTTTTTTTTTTTTGAATACTTACTGCTTCTAAAGAATAATGTTAATGTAGTAACCGAAGCTATATCCTTCGGCTTAACCAATCCTTGAGCGCATAATAAAATAGATTGAATGTTTGCACCAATTCCAACACCACCAAGTAACATGTATCCTATATATTCGCCATGTCCGGTATCTTCCTTCCACATAGTGATTAATCCGGAACCGATTATTGTCAATGATGAAGAAATTAGAGTCACTAATCGAAACGATATTTTATCTGTTCGAGAGAATAGTTGACCGCTTAGAATTGCGAAAGCTACTACACCAAGAATGTAAGGCATGAAATCTAATCCAGATTGTGTAGCTGTTTATTAAAAAAAGAACAATATAGATTGTTAAATTTATTTGATGTTTAACGAGGTTATATGAGATTTAGTTGATAGATATACTTGCCAGAATCATTTTTTACAACTTGGAAGTAAAGTGGTGCATAAAAAATATAACTAAAGAATACCATTCCTAGGAAAAAGCTTGTGGTGAAACATGCGACTATATTAAGATTTTTAAATAAATGTGCTATTTAAACAAAATGAAAAAAATTTTTTAGTAACAATAATATAATGGATTAATTATTATAATAATAATAATTCTTGCAAATATAAATTAAATCATGAATATTTACGTGGAGCAACGGGTTCAGTAACGATGTAATATTCAACAAGACCGAATATTATGTAACCGAATGCGCCGACACATAGAAGTGTTATAATCACGGGACTATTCCAAGGATAAGTATTGCCACCCCAATTGAGAGATAATAAGATACAAACAGTTGATAAAATCATTACAATAGTGCCGATAAAATCAACTCTCTTAATTTTATCAAGTAATGAACCGGTTGGTTTTGGTAAGTGAAGAAATAAAACCACAACGATTACTGTTATTGCACCTAAAGGAAGATTAATGAAGAAACACCATCTGTTTTTTTTTAGGAAAATAAATTTAGTGATGAGTTTTACAGTTGATATAATATAAAGCGATAATAATATGATTAGAGTTTTTTGCACCAATAAGGTAACCACCCTTGACATGCGTACCTCCAAGTAACATGATCAGTAAAAGCACCACCCATGAGAGGGCCTGCTACGGAAGCAATACCAAAGCATGCGCCAACAATACCCTGATATTTTCCCCGATCTTTAGAGCTAACAATATCCGAAATAATAATTAAGACGAGACTAAAAAAGAAAAAAATAAAATAGAATTTAGAATGCATAAAAATTTGATATAAATCTATACAATAATGAAGTACGTACCCAAAGATACCACCACCTCCGATACCAGCGATTGCACGGTATATTATCAACGAAACCTAAAAAAATAAAAAGGTGATAAGTATTCAAATTAAGAATTGAGAGAATGAAAGATAAAAAAAGATTAGTTATATTACCATATTGGTGGCAACACCACATAACAAACTGCCCAATTCAAATAAAGAAATTGCAACTAAGAATGTTGCTTTACGACCAAAAATATCAGAAAATTTTCCATATATTGGTTGAAAAGAAGTCTGTGTCAACAACATGATTCACGTGAGTATCACATAAGATATAATTCAAACAAAGTGAAATCAATGTAAATAATATTATTACCGTTGTGAGTAGATAAGAAGTTGCAACCCATGCAATTTGATCCAATCCATTAAAATCTGAAACTATTTTAGGTAAAGCGGTGGAAATAATTGTTTGATCTAAAGCAGCTAAAAATATAGCACATGCTAGACTATAATATGATAAGTAAAACTAAATTAATAACTATTAATAACTTGATCATATAGTGAGAACAGCAGGAAATTAATCGTTACGAACCCAAAAACAACTAAAAATAATTCAACTCCAAATAGTAAAGTATCTTTAGGCGGTGACGGGCTATTGTCTTTAACAACCTGATCATCGACATTGTTTATAGTTTTTATGGTTACAGTTGCATTTGACACTAATGTTTCTTGACGTTCAAGGTCTGCTTCATCATGTGATGTGGATTGGTTTTGTAACATTTTTTTTTCGTAACTTCTAATTATTATGTATATATGCTATGTATACTTTGTATGCTTTGTATGCTTTGTATGCTTTGCTATGCTATTAAATTATTTTTAATAGTAATTTTTTTTGCAAAAATTAAACGAGTAAAATTAATTGAAGAAATTTACAATCAAAGATTAAGTAGAAAAAAGAATCTACAAGGTGATTTACAATTTGAAAATTCTCTAAAGTCTACATAGTTCGAAATCTCGGTCTTTTATAATTTTTCGGGATAAAAGGTATATAGAATGAGTCATTGATATAAAGCTTGGATAAATTTTATTTATAATATCCGATGTAAAATGACGTTCCTGATTTTTTTTTTCACGCAAAGTATAGTTGGTTCGTGTTAAATTTTTTTCCGTAGAATAAATTTTGAGTTCACCGGTTAATTTGTTGTTCCGTTCCTAACTATAATAAGAATGTATCACCAAAACTACGGAAAAGATCGTCAACATACGTTTGTTAGTTTGTAGGTAACGGTGATTTGAACTGGTTTATTCCGTGTTTATTAATTGAAAACTATCAATCTATGATTGTTATTCGACTATAATAATGAGATTTACTAGTGTCTAACCCTTAGACCTTCGGGTTTGATGTGCAAGATTATTGAAAATCGTGAATTTCAGAGGTTACATAGCTATTTTCATAATAGACCATTCGGAAAAATATACTTTGTAAATACGCGCATTGAGCAAATAACAAACCAAAAGCTTTTTTTTATTTACGTATGTACGTACGAGGACCCCGAACAATACTAATTGAGGTCAATTAGCAGTTTTTCTGAAATTTGATTGGATAAAAAATTATTAGCCAATCAAATTGCATAATTTTGCAAAATTTTGACCTCGGTTAGAAGTATTCAAATATGACCTCCATTAGTATTGTTCGGGGTCCTTACATACGTAGAAATCAAATATTTTATGCCCGATATTGTTACGGATCTTATGGATCTATCCGAAATTAACATATGCGGATATTCGCAGCACCTGTATATAATGATTGTTACGCCCAATTGCCTAGAATATCATTTTAAAATTACTAATCATTACTAGCCAATACCATAATTTGAATAAGGTTTAAATATTAACCTTTACTGCCCGTTTTAGCATATCTCTACAGAGTATGTACGTACGTACATGAAAGGTTGGAAGTTACCGTAATTTTACGTAATTTTGCGTAAGTTTGTTTTAAATTTCTGAAATCAAAATTACATGTAATTTTGATCATGTGAATAATTTGGGCCAAAGTTTTTGTAAAGCTAAAATAAAATTAAATATAAAATTAAAGTTCCAAACAGCTAACATAAAATTAAATATAACATTAAGGTCCGAACACAATGATGGATATCTATTAATGCCGGCAAAACTTTTGTAATGCTAGTGCAATTATCATGTGACAATGTGCTATATATTGTAAAGTTACATTAAAGTTTCGTAAGTTATAATGTAATTTCATGTAATGAAAAATGTAATTTGTGTAATACAACCTTACGAACATGTAATGACATCATGCGAAATCAAATGTCATCCTTATTGCTCATTACAAATATATATCGCTATTCACAAATAAAATTCCGAACATTATTAAGCTTTAAAATTCTTCTAGTTAAATTGCATCATGCAAATACTGTTTTATCTGTTATTATCGTTACATAAAAAAAAAATTAAAACGTATAATAATGTATAAGATACGTATTATCTCCACTTAACGCCCTAAAATTTCCGAGTGTCACACTAAATACTAACAATAGCATCAATAGCATCAGATTATTTTCCGGATTTTTGTTTATCCATTAAGCACTAGTATATAATAGTGATCGGATTCGTCTCGAATAACTCGAATTTGTTATGATTCAAATCATGTAATTTTTAACTCGAAGTCAAATCCCTATAAAAAAACTTTTTATCCGAATATTTCCATTATTTCTCCGTGGCCTCCGTAAAAATTCCGTGAAAATGATACATTTACGGATATCCGTGTTAGGGAGATGAAAATTTCCATAATTTAAGGTTATAAAATTCCATAAAAATGAAACATTCATGGAAACAACATGGAATAATAAACACGGATCAAAATTTTTTATAGGGAATATATTACACAATTGTTATATATGTTAAATAAAATTATAAAATAAGGGGTCCGTATTATTTCACAATCACTTCACCGACAGCTCATTTAGCCGACATCACGCCAGGTGAAATTTAATAAAAATATATACCTGCAACTAATCAAATGCTTAACTCTAACCCTATGTGATGTCGGCTAAATGAACGTTCGGTGAAATGATTATCGGTGAATTAATTTTTTACCTATTTGATGTATGTATGAATTTGTATATTGAATTTAACAACATAAATTACTATCAATATCCAACAGTAACCGCAGCAAATTATTTGTCAAAATTGAATTTATGTTATTCATCATTTTACAATATTCATGCTAAAAAAACTATAGTATGAAATATTGATATTAAATTTTAACAATTAGGAGTTCTCAATATACTGATAACGAAATTTTAATTAGCATTGAATTAATTGATCAATTTGGTCACTTAATTCAATTACCAACTAATTACTGATCCAATGAACGAGAATTTAGAAATTTCCTAAAGTATTTCTATAAAAAAATGAAAATCTATTTCGAATTGTCAAGCGTTTTCTTTGAAAACACCCCAAATTAGATTCATTTTACTATCGTTAGATTAGAATTGAAGCCTGGGTTAGGGTTAGTAGTGGAGTAATTTGTATACCAAGCTTAGTAAGGAATGAAAAAAGTTGTTCATTAAAAGAAATTTAAGTTACAAGCGTGTTTTAAAAAACAATTTTTTTTTATTATTCTCGTGTTATACACCTGATTGCAAAATTTTAGTTGGTTAATAAGATGCAATGCACTTACAGTACGTAATAGGATTTTCCGAAAAATTAATAAAAAAAAAAAATGTTAATGCACAATTTAACTCTGCATGTCCATGATTAACAAGTGTGCTCAAGTTGTCAAAAACTTACTATTTTAAGGTATCTATTCGGTGCAGTCGCATTGTCTTATTATACATTATATATATTATGTAATGACAAATTTTAGCGTTAGTCTGCTTATGTGGTCAATTTATTCAGAATGAAAATTTAATCATCTGATTGGTTAATGCAGATTGAATAACATGTAAAGAATGCTAAATTTCATTGTGTAAAAGAATCTCGAAAAGAACTCATTTTAAAAACCAAAAATATACTAACCATACGATGGTTATCGTAGATTAAAGATGATTATGAATGTTTTTTTTTAAGTCTGTTTTATTCTGTTACATTTGAAAAAACTTTTATCATTGACTGTTTAATTTAGATTGGTATGGCTCTTTAGTAATAGAAGATCCAGGTTTAGTGCCTATCTGATTTTGCGATTTGTTGGAATCTGTCCAGCTGTTTAGATTGTATAATAATTACGGGTTTATTAATAATAAACACCACTTTTACCCTTTTTATGTGTATCTATCAATTTAATTGCACAGGTTTTTTTCGTTTTCGAATAGTGTTAATTGTTAACGTTAAAGGGATAAAGCAATAAATTTTTACGAGTAATTGGATAAATACATTTGACAATCACTTCCCATCACACAGGGTGATTATTACGTAATACTTAATGATTAGTAATCATTATTACTAATCCCATCAATATTAATAGTCACCCTGTGTGACAGGTTGCTTGTCAATGAAATCGGACGACCCTGTATCATTTGCTAGGAAAATCACTATTTGAAAAAGCAAGTGTCAACCAGTGATTTTCCTACCAAACGATCCATTTTAGGGCTCATTATTTTTCCACATATCAATATATTGATATGGTACTGTGCGAGAAATCTAAAAACCACAATCTCTTTATAGAGACAAGTTATTTCCTAAATTGTTAGTATCAATAAAGTGTACATAAATACTTTATTGAAGTCGATAATATTTGATTTCAGCTTTATGGAAGTTGATAGTTTAAAAAATTTTTGATTTAAATGTGCTACTTAATTATGCACGGAGCAGACCATCTCTCCAGAGTTAATGTAACGTATAATTAAGCAGGTATAGTTAATTAGCACATTTGAAATCAAGCATTTCTTAAAATATCGATTTCAATAAAGTATTTATGTATACACTTTATTGATTCCAATAATTTAGGAAATAATTTGTTTATACTTGTCTCTATAGGGAGATTGTGGTTTTTAGATT